CATGCGTAACTGCGTGAGCGTGAGCGGGGAAGGTGAGCATTTCACCGGGGAATTAGTCCGTTGATTCAGACTATCAACGTTTGACCACCCTAGTCATACGCTTAATTGCGTGTGCGGTCATTGTTTTGGAGCGATTTATATCTTAGTTCCCTGAAAATACATTGAAGAAGATATAACTTCGCATGCAACGTCGCGCAGCATCCGAAGCATCCTCCATGATCAAGCGAGGCCTAACATGGACGCTTCCCATGCCCGACCTGACGAAGACTATCCGGAGGATCACCCTCAAATGACCATCCTCCGATCGGCAAACCTGCCCCCGAGAATCAAGATAGCCCGCAGGTTGCGGTCGATGCACCCTCTGACCCGTCTGCTGTGAGTATGGAAATCACGACCATTGTGATGATTGAGCTGACAACCATTGGACAGCCGGAAGATCCACAGAGACCTGCCTTGATGGATCAGCCATTTGAGCCTGCGATGGAAGCTCTCGCGCGGCTCGAACGTGAGGACCCGAAGCTTGCGTTCCAAGTCACAAGTCTCATCGGACTGTATCGGCGCCTGTGGGAGTCATGCATGGCAAAGCATATAGAGGGAAGCAAGTTGGCCAACGTGAATCACAGTCTACGAGAGACTCACCGACATTTGACCGATGAGAGGAACAAAATGCAGTCGCGTCACGACGATCAAATTGCTCGGTTGCAATTCTTTGACCAGGCACTGGAGTCATCTCGGCTTCGACTGTCTGATATCTTAAGGATTGGGACCGGTACTCCGAAGGGGTCATAGCTCAGAGCACAGTGAACATTAATGGGGAGTGAAAGGAGCACGGCGGCAGTGGAACACTCATTGTCTCATAGGGGATATCTTGAGAAACTCAAGATGATGATAAGACTATAACAGACTCTTCCATTTTGAAGGTTTTACCTTTTCATGATAACGCCGTTCTAGAGACACTGTCAGCTCTGCAGTATCAGTATCGCTTCATTGCGAGGGGTCAGCGTAGATGATATAACCATCGAACGAACCGACTGTATCGGTAAGGATGTATAGAAGCCTCAGCTATTGTTGTTGAAGAAATTGCCGATGGCTCAATTCAATTGCATTAAAATGTGATTAAGATTTCGTCAGCAGCAAAGTGTCTCAGGGGGAAGTGCCTGACCCTAGACAGCGGTAGTGGGAAAAGATTCGCAATTTCACAATTCCGAAGACAGGTCTCCCTTTATGGGTTGAGTTGAAATGGAAAAAACCAATCTTAGGCAATATTGAATAAGATTTTATTGGAGACTAAAGGAATTTGAAAGTAGGAATGGAACAGAAGCCGATTAAGACCTGGGAGGAATATTTCGTAGCCTACATATTGACTTGGTGAGATACTCGGACAGAAGCCAGAAACAAGTGACATTGGCCATAGCAAACGCGAGCGATGTTTCACAGAGGATGAGATCCACACACGTATGGACACAGAAACAAATATCCAGCTCTTCTTGTTTTCGTTTCTTATCGTACCATGGAGACACTAATTCACTCAATCGCCCCGTAGGCGCGTTTCTCGCTCGCCTTCAAAACCTCGACAATCCCATCATTTAAGGCAGCCACAGCCACGGCTTGCCTGCGGCCAAACAGCTCCAGAGCCTGGTCGTTGCAGCACTAACGCAGGGCATCACATTCGGTGGTCAGCCATTCAATTGACATCTGGAGAAGACATTGCCCTTCCTCAAGTCGTATCTTTAATGCGGAATCGACGACATACCATTTCCACAGGCAGAAATACAAGTCAAGAAAGCCGATGATGGGGGCTGCGAGGGAGTTGCGATGACGCAATATGTATTTAAACTCCGTGGTGAGGCTTGATAAAGTAGCGGGAGCCTGAATCATCTTGAATCAGCACTGTCATACAATAGAGGGGAAGGCTATTTAACCTGGTTGCCACCCGCCGAAATGATTTTCTCAGGGGCTAGATCGTGAATTTGCTCCGGCATCTCACCGTCAGCCTTCCGTAGTACGTGTTGTTTTTTTAGGACTGGAAAGTAGGAGAAGACAAAGAACGTTTCGGAGAGCTCATGGTGTTCGTGTTGCTGGATGTAACCTGACTCTCATGAGTGCTTTAAATAGGCAGCGGATCTGTTCCTGATATAATATACATACTCTCACCAGTGCAACGGTGGCCTCCATAACGTTGGCGTTCACAGTTTGGTCAAATTCCAAGTGCTCTCCACGGAAACGATCAAGATCCATCACCGTTGAGACTAGGTCCGTCGAATCCAGTCTTTACAGTAATCCGTTACTGAAGTGAGGTATTTAAATACTGGTAGTTCCGAAGTGCTGTTGGGACCCTGAATGTTCCCCCGCCTTCTACTTACCAAATCCTGATCGGAATAACAAGCTTGATCAATAGGGTTTCCACGATGGCGATTGGGGCGGAATATGAATGCGTAGATAGCCAAATATTGGTGAGCTGGAAATATTGATTGATTTGAGTGGGAAGTATCAATTATGAAGAACAAAAGTCGGTGTATACAGCGGTATCATAATGTCAGTCCAAACCGGGGGTGCCTTGAACGTTATCACGCACCCTGTCAAAGCTTTGACAATTCTGAACGGCGAAAACTTCCAGATCAAGTGACCCTATATAATCTGAGTTATCTCTTATCGACAAATTGAAATTTTTAAGCGCAGCGTATGGAATCCCCTCCTATCATGGTGCAACTTGTGAACGGTTAGAACCTTGCTCGCAAATAATACTAAGCCTCGCTAGGTTCTCCCCGAAACCTATCGCGGCCTCCGCGGTAGTAGATAAAATGTGATCTGTAAGTTTAGCTCCGCTATATGAAATGAATATTTTCAAGATGGAGTGGCACAGTTCCAGTGGAGGAAATAGACCACTGATGATGAGCCGTGCGGTGACGACAATGCATTCCAGATCTTGATTGTCTCCATTCTCACCCACGAGCTTCGTGAATAGACTGGCGGACGTATACTGTATATGATGTTCTGAGGCAAAACCCGATTTGAGTTCTGATATATGCTTGTCGTCGGACAACAGAACGGTTTCGATATAGCGAGCCACATTATTGTAGTCGATTTGAAAACATAATTCACTCTGGTTAGAGTCTAAGAACGTGTAAATGTCAGATCCAATGCATTTTGGGAGCGGAATATCCATACACCACTCGCTTATTATCGTAGTCAAATCATTTTTTGAAAGCAACAGTTGGCTATGGCCAAGTGGCATTTTAAAAGCCGCCAATTCCCAGAATTGATCTTTTCGAGGATTGATTTTGTCCAAAACGGTCCAAAGCCCTTTAGAGAAGGAGACAGTTTGACGGCTTATATGCAAGTTCCAGTTTTTAACCAGTTAAATTGAAAGAGGGGTGGCAAATATTAACGTTGGTGCTGTGGCTTACAGTTGTGGCTTACATAGCGCGTTCAAAACCTAGTAATGTAGTCATAGTAATAATAACCAGCCCATAGTCGCGAAATCTGTAGAAATGGTAATTTACGAAGACAAGGTAAATAACATTGTAAGAGGACATTGAAGCTTGGCTATATTAGTTAAGCGGTTAGAACTGAGAAAGCTAATAGGTTTCGAGTATTAAGAGGCGGCGGCGTTTATACAGATCCGGCCTTGCCTAACAATCTATCGCATATATGATATTGAGACCGGCAGAAACTCGGAAGCGAAAGCGTCGGGTTTGCGGATGGTTTCACAGTGGCTTGAAACCGCATAGGCACACAGCCATAAAGGCTACAAGAGGCCTTCTAAATGTCTGGAAACAAGTCTTTAATACGCCTTAGCACTACGAGATCTATTGGCCGAGAGCGCCGAAATTGCTCAAACATTCCTCTAGAGTCGCCCAACCACGGCAGTCGGGCATCCCTATATAGGTTCTAGACCGTCCAACCCTTTGCGACCAGTCTCTACCAAATAGCCAACGGATCCGCTAACCCCGCAAAATTAGCTTATCAGTCCCAACCTCCTCGAATATAGCGTTTGGACGCTTCATGATTCTCCGAGGTTTTTGATTGATCAGTGTCTTAAAGCGCACAGTCAGTCAATAGGTACTGTGCAAGCAGCCAAGCTGTGCGGTTCGTGCCACTTAATCATAATTATCTCCGGGTGGAATCATTCTAAAAAGCGATAAGTAGAAAAGCGTCCATAGCTAGCGCTATAGTAATATAGTACCATGGGCGGAAATCTGTCAGGTGCAAGATATTCCTTGCCAGCCGGGCGTTGGTATCCAGGCTATTAGACGGTAAGTCATCGTCAATCGGGCGAATCAAACTCTCGGACATCTTTCGGAGTACGAAAGCAAGTCTAATTCCCATCCTCCCATCCAGACATTAGAAAACTAGACTATAGATCAAATATTCGAGGAGAGTGGCTTAAAGCTATCGCTCCCAATTCATAGCAAGTCCACCTTGGACCGCGTTCAGTACGTGGGATTATGAAATTAAGAATGTCACTGTCTCTAGGCTTCCAGTGCCTGTCGCGAAGGCTAATTGTTGCGATGTAGGGAGTACCTATATAAACGCAAACTTCAACTAGGGGCGAGGTATACGAGCGGAGTAGTAAGCAGTCACGTAATTTTGTTTATCCGTTCAAAACTTGCGCCTAACAGGCGAGTAGACTTACGGTAGACCTAGTTGCTGACATCCGATAGCAGGAAACTTACAAGGGATACGACGTGGTCGTCCGATACTTGATTGCGATTCGCCTTTCTGAACTAGTGGCTAAGAGCGGAGTAACCAACGTGCTTTTTCTGATAGCGCGCTATGTCAGCCACGCCAAAGTCAACAGATGGTCATGGGGATATGATATTTTGAATAGCAAGAAGGGAAAAGATTATCGGTCAATAGCCGGGTGGTTGCCTCCCGGGTGAGTTTAGGGTGAGCGCCGCTTTAGCGTCGCGCGACCGACCTAGTGTGGGCCAGGCCCCACGAACGGGTGATCTTCAGGCCCGTGGGCGCCAATCAGCTAATCCATATATAAAAAATACATGTCGTCATTGGTGTAAGGCACAAGCAAGCTAGGCGCCGAAATGTCACTTCCTCGGCCGAAAGATGACTTCTGAGGTTGAAATATAAAATTTGTGGCATAGTACGATTGTTTATCACCGGTTTGCCGACAACGCTCGCGCTTTCTTGACACCGATCTATCTTGCGTTAGTCACATGATTATCCTGGCTTGTTGCCCCCAAAATTATGAAAGAGACTTCAATACTCACTTCATTCTCAAGCCTTCTCACTCAGGAAGGCCCGAATTCTGTCAAATCTTCAGTCTAAGCCCTCATTCCAGGCGTCCCGCCCAGCAGAAGGGACCGCTCCCCCCCGGCTCGCCGTCAGACACCTACCCGGCACCTATCACGCGCCTCGACGCGTCTCGACGCGCCAACCTCATGGCAAGGCGTGATAACCAACCTGTTGGCCCTCTACAGGCCACACTACAGGAGATAACCACCGCTGCTACTGCTAGAGCTCTAGAAGGCCAGAAAATCTTCAGCCCTATAGCAACCTTCCTTGACAACCACCGGCGTCAGAATACTGGCCTCACCCCTGGCCAGCTCGAAGCGCTAGCTGCCCTCAGCAATGACCTGGCTAACGTAGCCCAACAACACTTCAATGCCTACATCAGCGGCGTGCCCTTGACCAATTCCCCCACTACCCCTGCCCCTGCCCTTGCCCCTGCTCCCCTTCCCCCGTCACCTCCCCCCTCCCGTCCCCCTTCCGGTCTTGCCCAGTCCACATACGCGTCTGTTACCCAAAGTCCCCCGGCTAAGAATGCTGCGGCAAGGCAAACCAACGGTACTACGAAGACTGATAAGCTTGCTGCAAAGCTGCCATCTCCCGATAACCGTCTCTTTGTACGCCTCCCGGAGAACCATCTTGCCAAAAGCATGGATGCATTCGCGATATATACTAGCCTACGATCCCATCTAGACACCAATGGAAAGCTTCTCAAAGGCGTCCAATCTATCAAGACTGGATTCGCTCTTCTGCCCAGAAGGAAGCCATAGCCGCCTTCTTCAAAGACTGCCACATTGAGCGGAGCTCCCGTTGGATCTCCTATCGAGTAACCAATATACCCAGGAAGGTTGGCCGACTTACTGGTAGCCAATACTCCATGATCCCCGTAAACCCTGAAATCTTGTCCGCGGAAATCACCGAGATGACTGGCCTTAACCTAGTTTCTATCACAGAGACTGCCATGAGTGCCGCTAACACGAACACTATCTCATCCAGCTGGTTTATTAATTTCTAGGAGGGTAGCAAGGCCAACCTCCCCGTACGTCTCTCCTTATTTGGCATGATCACCAACGCTCAGCCGCTGGTTAGAAAGACAAAGGTTGTACAGTGCAACCGCTGCTGGAAGTGGTATAACGCTAGATCCTGCGCTCGCCAGCCTAGGTGCCGACTTTGTGGCTCCACATAGCACACTGAGGAGGGCTATAGCAACAGATGCAGTACCCAATCTCCCTATACCTGCCCTCCAAGGTGCCTACACTGCCACGGACCCCACCCGGCTGACGACGAACAATGCCTCCTCCGGCCTAGCAAGATCGGTACTCGATGCACAAAGGCCCAACAAGCTGAGATCCGCAAGACTTACTCCCTAGAGCTTGCTAAGGCACGCGTAGAGAGACAGTGCTGCATGCAAGTCCCGGAACCCGCCTAGGACCAAGACACGGTCACGAACAGCCATCCTTCACCATTCCCCTTCCGCACGGCTACCCCGCCGCCTCAGGAGCCCCTAGACTCCCTACCAGTCACGAACAGGGCAGTCCGCTTCGCAAGTCCTAAGCCACAAAACAGCTTCGACGTCCTAATGCACGAACAACTATGAATCACCGAAAACGCCCAAGGAAAGAACGCGTCTCTATACTCCAGCTGAATGTTGGCCGGAACCCAGAAGCCCACGCGATTGCCCTCGCCCAGGCACACTCCAACTATATCGACATTATCCTTTTACAGGAGCCCTACATCTACAAAGACCTCGCTCGAAAGATCACGAAGAGACACCCGTCCTACGAGTGCTTCTCCCCAACCGATTCCTGGGAGGTAAGTGGGATCCCTCGAGTCCTTACCTATGTCTGCCGGAATAGTGGTATCCGAGCCTCCCAGCTCCGTCCCGACACAATAAGCCAGGAGATCCTCTCCGACCTTCTCCCACTCCAGATCTCCTCATGCTTAGGGCAATCTGCCCTGATATTCAACATATACAATGCTCCAGTCGCTGCAATCCGGGGAGGAGAAGCAGCGAGAGCTCTCACTTGCTTGCCCGAGTCCTACTTCACAATGCCTACCCTGCTTGCTGGAGACTTCAACCTACTACACACCAAATGGCAGCCGTCTCTCCATCGCCCTCCTACCGCCTTTGCGGGTGCATTTACAGAATGGCTCGACGAGCGTGGACTACGGTTTACATCTGAGGCTGACATCCCCACACATAATAGAGGCAACGTGCTGGACCTTGCCTTTGTCTCAAGCTCCCCGAGCCTCCTAGGAGCCAGTACTAGGGTTGCACACCACCTAGACGCTACCTCTGATTATCGCCCACTTCTCACGGATATGCCTTGGGAACACGGATCTGTGGAGACCCCGCAAAGACTAAGGTTTGACACACTAGACCACACCCGCTTCCCTACACTTCTCGCTGCCAACTTAGCGAATGTCAGGAGCTCGGCAGAGAGTAAAGAGGAATTAGACTGCCTTGCAAATGAAATCACCGCAGCTATTCATAGCGCATACACAGCCTCTGCAAACAAGTCAATGCCCCGAGGAGGAGGGCAACGTTGGTGGAACACTGGGTACAAGAAGGCACTACAAGACTACCGGGCCGGACTCTGCACACAGAAGGACTTCCGGCGAATAACTCGACCGCCCAAGTACAATACTAGCGTGACAAGATCAACGCGGTAACTAAGGGCAAGGAAGTCTTTGATATGGCCAAATGGCATAAATCAACCGGCTCCTACCGCAGTCCCCTACTAAAGGACCCCTTAAGGCCTGACAGCCCCCTAGCGGTAGCCTTGCAAGAGAAACGAGATATCCTATCCTAGAACTTACTTCAAAACACGGCTGAAGCAGGAGACATCCCGCTGGATACCTCAACGGTCCCATCTCGCTCCCTGCCACTCCCCGAGATAACCATAGCCTAAGTGGAGAAATCAATCCTGCTAGCAGGGAATACGACCCCTGGCGCAGACGAGCTACCCACCTATATATTCAAGGTGGCATAGCCCTTGATTAAAGACAGGATACTTGCGCTCTACTAGGGTTGCCTTCGGTTCGGCTACCACCCGAAATGCTTCTGATATGCAGTGCTGGCTATAATCCAAAAGCCAAACAAGTCCGACTAGTCGAGCCCCAGGTTATATAGGCCAATTGCCCTCCTGTCAGTACTCGGTAAAGGCCTCGAGAGACTAATCGCCCGAAACATAGTATAGATTGCTATCCACTATAAAGTCCTCGCTAGTCAACAGTTCGGGGCCCTGCCCCTGCGTTCAGCAATTAATCTGACTATATGTCTGCTCCACAATGTGGAACAAGCTCTCAACCAAAAGAAAACAGCCTCACTCCTTACCTTCGATGTGAAGGGAGCCTTCGATAGAGTCCTCCCGGGGAGACTAGTCCACAGACTTCGATCACAAGGCTGGCCTGATAAGCTAGTTCGCTGGGTGGCCTCCTTCATTACAGGGCGAGTAGTACAGATCCGCATTGACGGCGAAATAGGACCAATAACAGAGGTACTCTGTGGCCTACCATAAGGTTCGCCAGTGTCCCCTATCCTGTTCATGCTTTATCTAGCCCCTCTATTCCGGCTCGGAAGTGCAAAGGCCAGGTTTGGATACGCAGACGATGCAGCTATCCTAGCAATTTCTCTATCCTTAGAGGCTAACTGCCGAAGCCTGTCAACCTCCCTGCAGGAAGCCCTCGACTGGGGTACTACGGAAGGAATCACCTTCGCGCCTGACAAATATGAACTGATCCACTTCTCGCGCCGTCAGGATAACCAGGATCCTAGCTGCACACTAGACGTCACGGCAGGCCCGATCACAGTCTCTGAGAATACAAACCGCCCTTACCTGCGTTGGTTAGGAGTCCTCTTCGACAAGAAACTCAGCTTTAAGTATTATGTCGGTGAGACAACCTCGAAGGCCTTGATAGTTGCAAATGCCCTCCGCGGCCTTAGGAACACTATACGCGGGATCAAGCCCTACCTTATACGGCAGGCTGTGACAGCCTGTGTACTCCGAAAAGCCTACTTTGGAGCGGAAACCTGGTAGCTAGGTCGCTCGCGCCACTGCCCCCGGGCAGGCTCTATCTCAAACCAAGTCCAGGGACATCTGGACAAGATAGCCAAAGTTATACAAACGGGGGCTAGGGCAATTCTCCCTGTCTACTGTACCACTCCCTTACCTGCTCTGTATCGCGAGTCAGGGCTTCTGCCAGCTGAAGTGGAGCTTGATTATATAGCCGCAGCCGCTACTATCCGTCTTCGTCGCCTAGATCCTCACCACCCCCTACGCAGGAGGGCAGCAAAATAGTGCAATCTAGCTGGAAATCTAGCCGGTTTGCGCGCCGAATACTAGCCCTGCCGGAATCAGAGCAGATAAAGCCGTTGCAATATACCCCCTGGCTCCTAAAGGAGTCACGGGCGGACGCCCAGCTACGAATAAAGGCACCTAGCGGACGATTAAAGAAGCAGGCAGCTGCCGACTTTTAATCCTTTTACTCCTCCCTCACAAGCAACGATATAAAAGTATTCACAGACGGGTCGAAACTGCCTGATGGTATAGTAGGTGCTGGGTTTGCTTTATACCAGACAGGAAGACTCTGTCACCTATTATCCTTCTCCCTCGGTCCAAACAAAGAAGTTTTCGATGCCGAAGCTGAAGCAGCTCTTGCTAGTATCAAAGCAGCCATACAGTCGTACACCGCACGCTTTGCCACTGACCTCTGGGTCTGCCTGGACAACCTGGAAGTAGCTACCCGCCTGCTCTCACCCTTTACGGGGTTATCCAAAGAAGTTTTTGAGACCTTCCGAACCCTAGCCTCGACCTGGCCCGAGCGAGAGAGGTTCTCCTATACAAAGGAGGGCTCTGTACGTATCTGCTGGGTCCCCGGATATACAAAAGTCCCTGGGAATGAAGAAGCCGACTAAGCTGCAAAAAGGGGAGCTGCCTCAGAACCCCCTGTTTCCCCTATTTACTCTTTTGCCGCGCTTAAGCGTCGAACCAAGGCTGCTGTAACCTCGGGCCTGCAAAGGCACTGGCAGGCCGCGGCTCCGAAGTCATACCAGGATCTTTGGATCACCTCCTCCCCCAGGTGCCCGGATGAGCTGCGCCTCCCACGCCATGTTCTCGCGCGGATCCTAGCAGCTCGCACAGGGCACGGTGACTTTGCAGACTACTATGAGCGGTTCAATCATGAAGACGCACATATATATTGCCGGTGTGGAGCCAGGAAGTCTCTAGTTCACTTCTTCTTCTACCGAGTAGCTAAGAGACGCCTACCCCGACCCTCAGGACCTCCCTCAGAGACGATTCCCTTCCTCCTGGGAACCCCAAAAGGCGCAGCCAAACTGGCTGCCTGGCTAGCAGAAACCCGACTCTTTGACGACATCTGTCCAAGTCGGCCCCTGCTTGAGAATGCCTGAAAACAACAACAAGAAAAAAAAGCTGAATAAACGTAGAAGGAAAGATAGAAAGCAGAGAGATGGAGGATTGGCGGATCATGGTGCGGAGACGGATCCATGCAGCTGGCATTGCTATATAACCTGCTATTGCAGACCCTCCTGTTGACCGAGGCAGCTATGTGAATGCGCCAAAGTCTCTTAATTGTACATAGAACTAGCAATAGTTGGAGACGCCCAGGACTCACCCCCTGGCGGCCTTTGCCCCGATCGGGGATAGTGGATATCGTGCTCGTCACGAGCCACGGCCGTTAAATACACACTACTACTACTCCTATTCCCATTAATTAGTTAACGTAATTCCCGCCCGACCTGGTCACCCGCCCGACCTGGTCACTTTCCCCAAGTAGAACAATTCAAAATCGATTATCTCAACCAACGCCAATTAATTTAACTAAATATATCGATTTTTACATACATTAATCCTGTGACTAATCTCCCTGCACCCACTACACCTAGGTGGTGCCCTCTTTGCTGGCATAATTGGCTGACTAGGCAATTCAACCTCTGCATGCGAATCTACCCCATCATCTTCCTCTGGCTGGTCTAGCTGCTCAGCTAGCTGTATAGCCTCTTTAATGGTTAAACCCTCTGCGCAGGGTATCCTCTTAGTTGACCGATTGCGCTTTTTGATCATCTTCTCATTCGCCATGCGTAGATTCTCGTTATCCTCTGCGAGTAATGCAGTGTTGTGAAGCGAAAGATAGTGGCCCTTGATAAGTTGATCTAAGATGGTTTTCGATGGGCTTGGAGGGCTATTTGACCGTCGCTTTAGTAGATCTTTTAGCATTGAAGCTTGTTTGAATAGCTGAGTGACGGTTCTAGGCGTTTTTGGTGTGAATTGGCTAGATCTGCTGCTTGGACGGCTGCTTGGTGGTGTCGGTGTTCGTAGAGAGATATTAAGCTTGTTAAGCACTCTCTCGGCATCTAATGGTACTAGACCACTAGCTGCGAAGCTATTTTTGATAGTGGGATTGGTTGATTGGAAGGCTTCTAGCCGCGCGTGCTGGTAATCCACTAAGAAATCATGCTTGTCGATATGGTTATATCCTCTACGCGCAAGATCGCTAACGAACCGACCGTACGCGCGCTTAACCACAGCAAAACACCTAACATCTAGTGGCTGTAGTAGATGCGATGAATGTGCAGGCATACAAAGTGGTATAATATCGTTTTCTGCATAGATTCGGTCGAATTGGGGCGTAAGGTGGCTACCATGACCGTCAAGAATTAATAGCCGAAACCGACCTCGTACGCGCGAATTCGTGTGTGGGATAAAGTGCTTTTCTAGCCAGCGTAGGCCAATCTCATCAGTAGTCCAGCCATTCTTTGAGACCTCGATTCGCCAGTCTTTCGGTAGGTTTTCGTTAAACCATCCTGCAATAGCCACTTTGCCTTTGAAGACTACACATGGCGGTAGTGAATAGCCATCTGCGCAGATTGCTTCGATCGCGGTAACCCATTCGCGATTTCCTGGCTGAAGAAGAGATCTCCGACCGTAGTATTCCGCACGGGTAACTACCTTCTGCGAAGATATAAGACCCATTGCGAAGCCCGTTTCATCAAAGTTATAGATATCCTCTGATTGTATACCGTTTTCGTCAATAACGCTTTGTACGGTCGTAAACCACTGCCGAATCGATTTAGGATCTTCATTTAGGGCTCTTTGGTAATCGTATCTCCGTGAGAAGCGAGATCGAAGCTCAGGACGGCGGCTAATGAAGGATGAGGGCCAATTCTTGCCCACGGTAGGCGGAGGGTAGCCACCGCGCGCGGCCAGTAGGATATTAGCCATAATCCCCACGGTAGCCGGCCTAGGGGATGCACCACGCGAATCCATCGAGAGTATCCATTCAGTAAGCGAATCCTCTTCTAATTGGGTCAATTTATGGCCTGTAGGGCGAGAATCAACGCGTGAAACCTGGCCATTGGCGCGTACGTGTAGGGTAGAGTAAGGTATTGCATATAGCCTTGCTGCGGCGCGAATAGATTTGACACGGCCCTCTTTTAAATCAGAAAGGGCTAATAAGATCTTGCCCTCTTGACTTGCGGCTTTCTGCCGGGATTCAGGGCGAATTGGCGTCATGGTAGGTGGTTGAATTAGAAGGGTTGGTAGGAAGACGCGATTTTGGATGGGGTGACCAGGACGGGCGGGTGACCAGGTCGGGCGGGAATTACGTTAGTTAAGTTACGGGGTATGGGTCTGCTGACTAAGACCCAGCCCAGCCCACGGGTTGGGTTTTCATGCGGGGGTCCAGGCTCACTACGGAGTAGAACTTGCGTCATAGCCTCACACTCACTTCTTCCAGTTCCGTGCTCTTGGATCATGACTATCTCCCGGTCTACTCTATGCTAATAACTACATCAGACTTGCCATTTTGCTCGTCACATTCAAAAGAAAACTTGATCATGCATTAGTGACCTATGCGATGACGGTCAATGTGATGCAAGGGAAGTTTGCGAAGCCTCATTCGTCAGCGCGGCTCTCGCGTCTAGCATACCGCAGTGCGCCAGTCTCGATCCAAGAACCCACCCGGCTCAAAGGTCCAGGATTTTTTCTTCTCTGTATTTTTATTTTATTTTATTACAGAGACAGCTTTTTATCAATCATATTCTGCGGTTTTCGGCTCGTGTTTCTTGCGCATCTTTCCCCTTCACGCCTCGCAAGATGAATCGCGAATACCCATCGGACCAAGCTGAAAACGAATCGGCGCTGTTCAACTACGACTCGAGTGTCCCCTCCTACACGCAGCCTACTGAATTCCACTTCCCTGAGATCCCCCTCCCTAGCCATGACGACTTGGCCACCGGCGACCAGCCGAATACTAAAGTCCCGATCGCTCGAAACCTGCAGCCCATTAGCTGGGCGAGCAGCGGTCGAGTCAGTCGGGCCTGCGAGAACTGCCAAGAGCAAAAGGCTAAATGTAGCGGACACCGTCCTGTCTGCCTTCGTTGCAAGGATGCTGGCGTCCGGTGTTCGTATAGCGATCGGAAGAGGGAGAAGATGGCCAAGTGGGTGGCTTCTGATGGAGCAACAGCTCACATTTAACGACTCCTTAGGCAGCTCAGCGATCTTACTGCACAGTTGGAAACCTACAAAACTCTCTTGCAAGACCTCTATCCCAGACTAGACAATCTGTCGGCCCGCCATGTTGACCAGGCTCTTAAGGAGGTGTGTTCCAGTCATCATCGCCCCTCTATTATTGCCTACTCACCATCTCATCTTGTCCAGTTTTCAGATCCTTTCACGCCCCACCCTGATCCCGCGGGCACGCCCTTCACCCTCGGGGCTATCGACTACACTGAAGAAGATTTTAACAGAGATGAGAAACTCCAGGCCATGGGGTTTGTGGGCGAGCACTCGGAGGTGGCCTGGTTGTACAGACTTAAACTGGACCTGGACCAAGACACCACGACACCGGCCCCAACCTCTTTCGATCGCCCTTCTATCTCGTCGGTCAACTACTTCCAAGACGAGCTAGAAATCTCTGTCCTCGACGACATAGACCTTTCGACCCGCCCTCCTCAAAACGTCGCTAGTCAACTCATCAACGGCTACTTTCATTCGGTGCATCCTGCCTTCCCAATCATTGGCATGACCACATTTCTTGGTCAATGTAACTCCTTCTACTTGAATCCCAACGTCCGGCCTGGCAAACGATGGTTGGCGGTGTTGAATTTGATATTTGCTATTACAGCGAGACGTTTGCTGCTGATGGGCCATTTGCCCCACTCGGAGGTGGATAGCCATTTGGTATACTTCACGCGGGCGTGGCGCCTCGGCATCGACAATGTAGCGTTGCTTTCACACCCGGACCTACAGCAGGTCCAAGTCGAGGGCTTAACAGCCTTCTATCTTCTGTCCGTCGGACAGGTTAATAGGTCTGGTTTTCTGCTTATTTATTTTTGCGTGAGCTGGTGGCTGACCGATGGGAATCTTTGTGTCTAGGTCATGGAGAATTCTTGGTATTGCGATCCGATCAGCCGTGACTATGGGGCTCAACCTCCGTAGCGAGAGCTCTATCATTGATCACCTTTCCAAGGAGATAAGATATCGGGTGTGGTGGGCGCTGTTTATGTTGGATACCGTGCTATGCGTGATGACCGGCCGACCGCCCAGCACCGTTGAGTCCTTCTGCTCCACGCCTCTCCCGTTGCCGTATACCGAGGAGGAATTCAGCAATGAGCAGATCATGCAGCTTATCACGGATCAAGAAGCCCGGAATGTGTTGATGTCTTCCCTGCTTTCCACGGAGCCCGCGATTGCAGCCAGGGAGAGCCTCGTCAGTCACACACGTTCCGCACAGTTGGACATCAAAAGAAAGCAGGTCGAGCGGAAAGCTCAGACTCTTGCCCCAAATGGTTCGCTCTACTTTTTGTACGCCGTGGACTTAGCGTTACTCACCCGCGAGGCCGTGGAAACTCTGTACGCGCCTCGAGCGAAGAGACGATCATGGTTAGAAACTGAAATCAAGATTTCTACCCTTAATAGCAAGGCCGACAGATGGCTTTCTCGTCTTCCGGCGGAATTCCACTTCCTCGAACTCGATACATCGCGGCCTTTTGCTTGGGAGCGTGCCAGTCTAGCCTTTCGCTTCTACACCACCAAGCTAATTATTTCACAGCCCTGTCTTCGCCACCTTGCCAACCTACCCATTGCGACCTTTCCCGGCGCTGTGTGCGATACCATGGCTGCTTTGTGTGTTCAAGTTGCAGGACAGATTCTCGATCTTCTACCTAATGAGGTAGACACGGTATGGTTATACGAGATATCCCCATGGTGGTGTATTCTTCACCACATCATGCAATCCAGCACGATCCTTTTAATCGCGCTATTCACGCGAATCCGGCCCGTCATAGCCGATGCAGACAACATCGCAGAGAAGGTCAAGAAGGCTACTCGGTGGCTGAACAAAATGTCAGCCAAAGATACCTCCTCGCAGCGAGCTTGGCTTATCTACATGGATCTTCTCTCGCGCCACGCCTCTAAGCTTGGATTGGAAGTTGAACCTGGGCTCAATCTATGATGATTATCCTAGACTTATTGTACCTACAGGACATCTGATACCGAGGTGTGGTGGATTACGTTATTAACAGAGAGAGGAAACCTCTCATCTGCTAGTATGTGGTCGCTTCGCTTCGCGCCGATGGCAGGGCTAAGTTCGAGTCCCGATACGAGTCCCTTTCCAAGCTTGAGCACGCACAGGAGTATGGCGCTGCTGTTCAAGACTGAGCTTGCAAGTGCCTGGTTGGTCAAAAGTCGATGCAAATATCCTCAATATCTCTTCTATGGAGGATAGTCGATGACAAAGCTTATTTATGGCCGCGTGTATGCATTCGGCTGCCTTGGTATTTTCTAAAAGAGCAGGGACGCAACACTGTGCCGCTTTTGCGGCTTGCGCATTGGGATTGTTAATACTTGTTGCTTCAGTTATTGTAAGGGAAAGACGAAAGTGGTATTAGTCGACGCATCTCAAGACAAAATCCAGGGGAAAGCTCATAGCAGTACTGTACCAGAGTGTGATCTATGACTTTAGACCCATTTTTGATGAACGGAGAGAGATGGATATAATGCTTAATGAGAAGGGAGGAGGACTCAAATAGATATAGGGTGAGGTTAATGGCACTACATGAACGTTACTCGCACTACAAACTAGGCCCTTTTCGGTTAACGTCCGCCCCACCACTGAAAGGTACATTTAAGACCTACAGAAATATCGCTGTCTTTATGTGTAGTCATATTCCTCTGGTTCTTATAATAAATAGCTATAATAATTATCAAATAATAGGTAAATATATAGTGACGTGCTCGAAGTAAGTACTGACCCTAAGAGCGACCGCAAAAAAGGGCTTATTATTCATAGAAATATCTAGACAGAAGCCTTGGTAGACCGATGTGCCTTTTTGGTGGTGAAAAGTTGCCAAGGCGGGTACTAACCCAAAAAGGTTTAGTATCTAGTGCGAGTAACGTTCATGTAGTGCCATTAACCTGACCCTAGATATATTATGCCGCCTACAGCATCACCGCTTAACTTTGTAACATTTCAGGGTAGAAAAATACTTTGAGCTCCTGGGAACCTGAGTGATTATGTGTGAATCAGAAACTGGCACTAACAATATATATAGCCTGCACGTCCGCGTCGCTCTAGGAGCGTAGTACGGCGGGAAATAGGGATCACTCGGCCACAAAAATTAATAAGCAGATTTTCTACCAGCAGAATATCGATTTCGGGCCTTCGGCAATTCTGATTTCCACACAAATCGTACACCCTCCCACATTACACCAGGTGAGTGCGATTACTGCTAGAAATCATTCCAAAACGATTCAATTAACTGGCCAATGAGAGCCCTTAGATCAAAATACAATCTGATACTGCCAATCTGATAGTAAACGAACCACCACTGCGACATCCCCCGAACCCTACCCCTCAATCCTGCGATCGCGACCAGGTCTGCGGAGTTGGCCCAGACGCCTGCATGCGCTCATGATCCTGAGGTTTCAATTGATAACGCTTTCGAGTCCTTGGGGGCGATACCAACGAGCTTGTTGATATTTCACGGCGGCGACGGCGAGGTTTTGATAGTAGACTAACCTCCTGGCTAACCTCTTGCTCAGTCTCTGGCATAGTCTCTTCGACCCCCTGCTCGCTCTCCTTATTCCCCTCGGTCTCCTCGATATCCTGCTCGGTCTCCTGCTCGGTTTCCTGGTGAATAATTTGGTGAATCTGCTGTTCACCCTCCTGGCGAATAATTTGGTGAATCTGCTGTTCGTCTTCCTGGCGGATCTGCTGGCTTATCCCAGCCAGCAGATCGGATACTCCACGAGAAGGAAGACGAGGAAGGGGTCGAAAGTTGAAAAGCACTGAAGGGTCTGGGAGATTATTATCCAGGTCAAGGTCATCGTCTTCTTCAACCTGCTCTCCCTGCTCTCCCTGCTCTCCCTGCTCTTCTCTCTTGATCTGGATACCAACTTGGTGGCTCTTCTTCGCACGCCGCGGCTGGCGTAGCGGCTGGCGCTTCGGAGTAATAGTAGTCTCTTGCTCAGTGCGTACAATAATCACATTGATCGAGTACTCATTGTCTTTACCTGGAAAGCGCTTCATAATATCCTTGCTATCCTGGCGGCTTGCATTATTACATGAAAGAAGGATAGGCTGCCCCTTCTTGATTAAAGTAGCAAGCCTTAGCTGATCGCCGTCTTGCCAGCTACACTAGAGAGAGCAGGATAAGGATGCTTCTGCTCATGACTCGGCTGCTTTTCCTCTATAATCGCCTGCTGATGCGGTGCACGCCGGAAGTAATCCTTTATCTCCTGCGGCTGGGCCTGCGAAGAGAGTTGGGTATACTGTGCACGCGATAGTATATTAGAAGCTGGAGGAGGAGGAGATGGTGAGGAAGATGAATCTCCAGTTAAATCAATGATATTAACTTGGCGTCGAGGGTATGAAGAAGGCATAATAATAGAAGATGTGCGTAGGAAATTATTAAATAGACTAGGCTTTAGAGGGCTTTTTATAATCACTTAGTGCCTAACAGCCTATAGTGTATATTACTATACTAATCGTTAGAAAATGCGGTGTGACTAAAGTCGAATCCTTGTATTCTTATCAACTAATATTGCTTACTGCATAGACTGAAATCCTATCACACTGCATAATACGACACTCCTATGAAGCCACTCGCATTAGGCTGATACGACACTCCCATGAAGCCATTCGCATTAGGCTACTTCCTGCTGATTTTCCCAATTCTCTTGAGTTGGCCGCTCGCATATTTGAAGGATTGGTGGATTGCCTGACCGCATATGTAAAATCGCTCGCTGACGAAGCTCAATATACACCGATTTGTATGGCTGGGTTAAATCGTCGCGTGGCGGGGGGTCTAATGGGTTGAAGCCTATCTGCTGAAGCTGTTGTATACACCATATAAGTGTTTCATACGGAAGATACTCGTCTGCATCCCAACCTGCCACGTCTTCCCGAAGCACTTGTAGAAGCGTAGGATCAGCCGCCTGTTTTAAATCCAGCCTAGCTGAATGCTGGTAGTTAAAGATTGGCTTCCCATCAACAACCCATGGGCGCTTTGGCTGCTTGCGAATCTTGTGGCGGTTCCATGTCTTAACGTATGCATCAGCGCAGGAGCGTATAGTAGGCATGAATACTGCAAGAAGGGCGATCTGATCAGGAAGGCTTGTTATCGAAAAAAGGTGCTCATCCCGAAGGCCCATAAAGTAATTCTAGTAATATTAGTAGACATAACATAACAGGATACAATAGAAGGATAATAGAAGAGGAAGATATAACATACCCGCCAGATAAACACACTCGATCGCGAAAGCTATGCCCACCAGGCCTCAATTCGAGTATTCTCAGTACTGTTGCCATACGAATAACAGTCTTCATGAGGAAGATCAGGTTCGTGCACACGCCTTAGTGCCCAGTGGGCGTCTCCAAGGTGTATAGTTTCGCCGCCAAGATCAGTGCGAAGGATTCGGGGTATGTATCCAAAGGTCGATACCGCGTCAACATATTGTCTGTACACACTGATAGCTGTTCGCGTAGAAATGCCGACGTATATCCAAAGGATATAGCGTGAGAATCCGTCGATCGCAGCATATATCTCGATACCGTATCCTGATAGCTTCATGTAGCCATCCATGTGCCAGACATGATTTGGACCAGGTGAACGATATGCTTGGCGCTGCCGCTGTAGATCAAGCGTTCGGCGGCGAAGAGCATCAGGGCGCTCATCGCGGTAGATGGAGAAGACCCGATTGCAAGGAAAAACATAGCCTTTTTGGCGGAGATAGGTATGCAGAAGGCCTCTCCCAAATCCTTCAATTTTCCCGTCATAAATCTCCTGCTGAACCACCTCCCTAATCTGCTGGGCTTGTAGAGCGCGGGCCTCAGGATCGTCAGTACGTAGACGAAGACCAAGCTGCTGTCGCAGTCGTTTCAGCGTGATAGGGGCGATTTTGAAACCCTCATGGTGGAGGATTGGCAGGATCTCTTTATCGGAGAGATTATCACACACAAGGAATCGAATACGGTCGCAAAGGGCCTGGTTATCAACGGCAGTGGTAGTAGGTAATCGGCGAAGCCCCCAATCCTGTAGGCGACGGGAAAGGGTACGGTAGGAGATATTGATCGAATAGCGCCGGGCGAGTTCCATGCGGATAGCCTCATTAGTTTCCTGCCGGTTAAAAAGGTCGACGATTTCATCCTTATAAGAGCTAATACTGTATCACTAATATTCAATATTCAATACACATTATGCCCGCATCATGCTTGCCTCCGCTACCACACCAGATAATCGACCACTCGCAGGGAACGGACTTCCTGTACGCATCGCGAGTCACGAATCTGCCCATGCGAAGGCGTAGGTATCGAAATGCGGTCGCACTTCCTCCCACCATTAAGGCACGATGGAGAATTTACCAAGACCGAGGTATCTATTAATTTTTTTTTTTTTTTTCTCATGGTAACTTAATAAGTCATTGTTTTTTTGGTAATTGCCTGATTTGCATGTCACTGGTGGTGTGCTGCAAGTCGTTTTTCCTAGCCAGACGACGGGACTTTTTCTGCGCCGGACGGGCAAGATATATCTCGATCAATCTCTGGTTTAAAATGAGCGCCAGCACGTGGAGCGATCGCAAGTAGAATAATATTTAGCAAAGCTATCTTGTGTATTGAATTTTGCTTTTTGGAGCAACTTTTTATTATGGATCGAGAGCCGAAAAGTGTCACCACACATCTGAAGCCGGGAAAACTCAGGGAGTTCCTGTTCCAATTATGAACAACCGTGTTTGACCAAGAAATACGAAGGAATTATTGTGGCTTGCGTTTTGGTCTAGTGGTGATTCGCTAGTTGCGTCATCGAGGTCAGGCGTTCGAATCCTCCGCGCATTGAACTTTCCAAACGCTGTCCGAAATTCGGTCTATCGCTTTCATCCCTGCCATTGCAATAAAAGATTTACCATGTCGGCGTGAACAAAGTTCGCCCAGGAGAGAGGTACTGTACGCGTCGCGGATGGAGCGCGTCATCTGCACAGCTTTTCCGCCTTTTCTCTCACTCTGTTTGGTGATCACCGCGCCCTTCAAGCCAGTTCTAATTTACATATCGGACGAGCCTGCATTTCCCCCATGACCGGCCACCCATCGGACGTCAGCCGTCCACGAAAACAAGGATCGTAGGCTGAGCTAGTCCGATCCAGAGTAGCCACGTAGCGATTGCGGCCTCCCTGTCTACCATGCGTTGCAGAATGGGCTTTGAGGTTGTCGCCACGCACGAAGCGGCGCTGGCACTCTGGAACCCATCAGGCATACGGCCTTTCATCCAGGTGGCTGGCCAGATGACGCTGTAGGCCTTTGAGATATCGAAAGCGACTACTGCACCTTGCAACGGTGCATTTGAATTATCGCCGGGGGAACGGCCGTGGTATGCTCCTGCGGGAGTGGCTGGAGTGCTCACGGTCGCCGCAGACGAGGCGTGTGAACTCCTCAAAGTCTGGCCAGGACGTCTTCCTCCCACCGCCATTGGGTGTTTCGGCAGGCGTGTTTTTACTTATCATCGACTTGGTTATACTGTATGGTTCGACAGTGGGATTCCTCGCGATGACCTCGACCTCAGACTCGGGGTCAGACCCGTATTGAAACCAGTCCATACCATGAACTTGATCTTGCCGGACAGGCGCATAAGAAGAAGATTCCATATCGGACCATGAAGCGTTTTGAACATAATTCCAGTTCACTGGAAATTGTCTATGATCGGCTTGGAAGCCAGGCCATTGACAGCAGGAACCTTCCGGGCAGCAGGAAAGGTCCCAGTCTGCGTAGGTTGTTTAGTGATTTGCTTGAACCAACCGCAATGTACAGACTAGACCGTAATAACGTACCATTATCGTTATTTCCACCACGATCCATCGACGATGATGTGTCGCCAAGTTGTAGGTGCATTTAGCAGATGGGAAGATTGATAAGCCTGCACATAAACAAACACAGAGGCTCTGAGCAGGTTGGGTGATATATCTGAAGGCAAGCCAGCCAGATAAGGTGCCGAATGTAGCTAGGAAGGCGTCAGATGAGAGAACGCTATACCGTGTAGATATTTCAAGCCGGTCCGCTTTCTAAGAGCCTTGAACCGGGAACAAAATTGTTTCAAGCAGCCGTATAGTAGCTGTATGGTCTAAGAGGGAAGATAGTTTCACTGGGCTCTGGTCCGTTGATTCAACGTTGGCAAACCGTAATCACCGTTTTTGAGTTGTTAATCTTGGTTCATTGGAATGTATATCCTAGCTATATAAATTCTGCAACATCGGGACGCATTGCAAGCATCATCCTCGGTCAGACAGGATACACAAGATCCAGCATGGACACCTCCAGTATCGATCCTGCCGAAGAGCTGCCTGAGATTCAGCCCACAAGTGGCTATCATCCAGCCGACGAACCTATTATCCATATGGAACAGCACCCGCAGATTGACGTCGATCCACCATCCGGCCCGGCAATCGTGAGTAAGACCAACACAAGCAAGTATAAGGACTAGCTGACTCGTGGCCAGCGGGCCGAAGATACAGAGAGACCGTCCTTGAAGGACTAGCTATTTGCACTAGCCATGGAGGCTCTCGCGCGGCTCGAACGTGAGGACCCAAAGCTTGCGTTCCAAGCCGCAAGAGTCGTCGGACTGTATCGGCGCCTGTGGGAGTCATGCATGGCAAAGCATATGGAGGGGAAGAAATTGACCAAAGCAAATGACGGCCTGAGGGAGACCCAGCAAAGGCTGATGAACGAGAAGAACAGAATGCAGTCAAGCCATGATGACCAGCTCGCTCGATTGCATTTCTTGGATCAGGCGCTGGAGTCATCTCGACTCCATTTGACGGAAATACTCAAGGAATGGAATCGTTGTTCTGATGTCCTCGAGTCAAAGCCTAGTAAATAAAGAAGTGCTAGCAAGCCGATGGCGGTAGTCCAATTACTGTTAGATGGTAGGAGGCGTTTGTGGAAATTTGATGAGATGGCCATGTTTCAAGGGCTTTTCAGCTTTCTTGCTTCTCCTCTATGCAAGGAATCAACTTGTGCTTAGTCGAAAAGCGCAGAACAAATGAGCCGTCATTATTGTTGTGGTCAAGAAGACGACAACGAGATTGGGTTTTATCCGCATAGCCTCCCCGAGATGAAGCCGAGTGTGGTCAGCCATACTGCAGGGTACAAAGTATCATAGTTCTCGCAATGACCCAAATCGCGGCAAATCTCCTCCGAGCTAATGAAATACTACCCTGACTGCCGTTCCAGGGTTATAAATGCTGGAATTCAGATGTAATTAAAGGGACAGGTAGAGCTCAATTTTGTTGGCCTCGACTTGGTAGGTGAGACCTTGCGCACAAAACCAGGCATGGTGATGCTGCTAACAACACAGTAGACAGCATCATGAAACAAAGATAGCGAACATACTACGTATATGTTTAACAGAAATGAGACCCCTAGCTCGGCTGGTATCCCATTGCATCATGTTTCCAAGACTAGTTCAACTCGATCATCCTACGACCCCGTTTCTCGCTTGCCTTCAAAGCCTCGACGATCCTATCATTGAGGGCAGCCGCAGCTTTCCGGCGGCTGATTAGCTCTAGGGCCTGCTCATTGCAACACTGGAGCAATATATCGCATTCAGCGGTCAGCTATACAATTGACCGCTGAAGCTGATCCTGCTCTTCTTCGAGCCGTATCTTCAGTGCAGAATCCACAATATAACAATTCCATAAGCGGAGATACTAGTCGAGAAGGCTGACGGTGGGAGCCGCGAGGGAGATGTGATGATTCAGAATATATTCAAACTCTGTAGACAGACTTGCTGAGGTTGTGGGACCCTGTAGTCACTCTGATCAGCATTATTAATTCTATGCTTGCGTGGCTCTTAGACCTAGTTTTCGCTAACCGAAGCGCCTTTTCCAGAAGCCCGATCACTTGATTCCTCCTGCATTTCATCATCCGCATTTGCTTTAACGCGTTGTCTTTTGGGCTGCGATGTGGGAGAGGACAAAGGCCTTTTGGGAGAACTCATGGCGGTCGATTTGTTGCTAGATGGTAACCTGACTCTTATGAGTGTGTTAAATACATTGTGAAAATCTTCATTATACAGTGTGTGGCGTGTCTATCAGCGTATTATTTGTAACTTTCAACGTTGGCGTTCACGGTTTATTGACCTCCTAATGCCCTCACAATCAAGTTGATCCAACGTTCAAATCTGGCCTCGCCGTACTATGCACTTTGACTAATAACCTCGGCCGACTTTCGCTCTCAGATTGTTGCATATAATCCATAGCCTCCGCAGACATCCGCTCTGAGTTTTGGAAGTGGCCACGGGAAGCAGTCCTTGATCGCGTTCGTCGCGAACTGTAATGTGCCTCTCGGGCTGGATCACCTTTCTGTCTCCACAGCGTCTGTATTTCATGGCGTATGTCAAGGCACTTTCTTTCTCCCGATTTTGCATGCGAAGATCAATCTTCTTATGACTGAGCAAGAGTTCAAGAACATCTGACGCCCCATATTGAATAGCTCTCATTAAAGGAGTCTTCCCATATAATAATGTGTTGGCATCGGCGCCATGAAGGAGCATGAGCTCCGCCCGAGCATAGTCGTTGTCTCTGGCTGCGAGGTGCAGGAGACTACAGTTCTGGCGCTGAATGTTCCACTTGAGGATGTGGGGCTGCAGTCTGCAATAGAGATCTCGACATGATATGCCCAGTGAGCCCAGGTCATGAAAGTCTAGCCGAGAGACAATAAGTGAGATAATATGGTGACCCGGTACGAACGCTGAAAATGAACGTATCCAGACACACACACGCACACATATACTTTAAACAGGCGCCACAAATCTGTCATTTTTTTTCGGAAAAATACCCCTCTGCCGGGAGCCGGGATTTGCTGATGTAACAACAGTATTCCCAAGAACAAAATGAAGTCATCCGTTGCAACACACAGATAATTAGTTTGAGGATTGAATCTGCCATTCCCGTCACCCTATTCTCTCTTTCAGCTTTAGACGCATTGATCGTCGTTTCCGAACATTGGCACGTTACTCACACCGTATTTTGCGCTTAGCTGGGATGTTTGAATGCGAGGATTTCATGTTGGCCTCTATAGCCGATTTGGTCATATTGACAGATAGACTCGGTGAAAAGCGGCCAGCTTAGACATACGCCGTACAGTACATAATATATCTGAAGTCAATTTCAAATCTAAATCTTCTGCGTACTTAGAATAACATTGTGTTGGTAAGGATCCCTCTTAGTGATAACCTAGAAATCGTTCACGTACCCTTCTTGAAATCTCCTGTCTCGTTTGACTCTTCTCCCGCTATAGGAGAACCTGATTGAGCAATTTGAGTATAGTCAAATTGCTGGCAGCTGCGGTACTTCAGAAATATTGAAGCCGGAGTAGATTCCGCAAGGAACAAATTCTGTGATTTAGTGCGACAATTTTCGCTGGCCTATCTTTCGTAATCTGGAGTACTTATACGAACTGTATCGGCTTCCGAGTTATCTTCCTCTGGCTTTTGCTTGTTATCCACGTCGACAACAATAGAACTGACTCTAGTTGATCTAGTTGAGCCAGTCAGAACCGCATCGGATATAGCGTTAGGTAAACTGAGAAAACTATTGGTTGTTTAGCTTCGTGAACTCAGTACTCAAGCAGAAAATAGCCGTTGTATATTTTAAACTTAATCTCCTTACCTTAAATACTGCAAAAGATTTTATATTTTAGGTACAAAGCTACTGTTCTGCTAGATAGGGCTGATTAGTTATAGGGTAAAGGTGAACGTGAAGGTTATATATAGGCGTGTCCTCTTTATAACCTCTCAGGATCGCGGGTTAGCTTCCTAGGAGTACTAAAGTCTGTCTCTACGAACATATACCACCCCTCCTGGGTGCTATATTAGTCCTAGAACTCTAGGTAAAGTACCCAGAGCAACCACTGGTTATCCCAGGATAGATTGATTGATTCATTAATTACCTCTAGATCTAATCTAATACGAATAGTCTTAGGTTTTCCGCCGAACTGAAGCTTATTAGGCGGAAGTCACCGAAATTATTAAGACTCGAGGGTGTCGTAGTGAGCAATTCAACGATTGGTATAAGTTATGTTGGATCTTTTCCCCCCCTTTTCTATTTATTGGATACGCTAGAAGCTCTTTAATCAGACTCAAACGATTTATAAAACTCCCCGATAGCTAATACCACCTTCTAGAGTCGGATATTCAGCGCTCGGGATGCGTTAGAAGCGCCGCCTTGATCTTATTAATAGTCTCAGCCGACAGATAGCAATAGTCCCTGATATATTTATAGACACCCCCGAAGTGCTCTTTAACCAAATCCAATGTCGATCCTATGATCTCCCCGCTTAAGGCCGGTCAGTTTTCTATCCCGCAAGCTTCCTCTTTATAAGGGAGCATCTTACTTACACTGAATTGAAAACGTCGCTAGCCCCGCAACATCCCTTACATCGGGGTCGGTTGCTAGCGCTAACTAGATAATTCTTGGCCGTAAATACTCCAAACACGGCCTACTATAACTATACTCGGTGGCAACAATATGATCCGGCACGCCGGCGAGGGACAGCAAGAGCGTACTGATAATCCCTGTACGGTCCTTTCCGAGCACGCAGTGGATTAGGATCGTCGACTGCTGATAGGCAAGAATACAGAGCAGCACTTATCGAATAACGCCGGGCTTGGTTTGCAGGGTCTTAAGGTACTATTCCGTAATCGCCTAGAAGGAAGACAGTCAGATCACGGATTTTTTTCGTATCTATACACGAGCAAGGTAGAGGAAGAGAGAACAGACGAGATTACCTGTATCACGGTAGCTCTTATATTTCTCGGTCTCTCTGTTAAGACACAGCAGCCCGTCACTGAACAGGATACGAATCACTTACACCTAGTCTAGGACCTCGGGCTCTGTAGCGGCGCCCGAGAATATCCTGGATTCACCGGCGCTAGTGAAGTCGATAATCACCGACACTCCCATCTCCTGCAGTGTCTCCTACCCGGTAGTGTTGATATAGTAGAGATTCCCGCACCGGTAGATAAACTTACGCCGCACACTTGCGTCACTGGTTGTCCAGTAGCCTCCCAGGTTACGGAGGTTGAACAGTCCTCCTACCTAAGCCGGAGTCGTTTCTATGTCGTTATTCGTGCTTTATCAAACAAAAGTGTTAGGGTTATTTCGGCTAGTAGATATCCGCCTTAAATAACTATTGGTAGGGGGCTCACTGTAGGTGCCGCAAGGGTTGTATCCCCGGCTACATAAACTACTGCGATTACCCCTACTGTGAACCTTATTGATGATAGGCTTTTGGCTGCGGAAAAACAACGATCTAGTCTTAGAGTAGGACCTTCCAGTTTTGCCTTGTAGGATCGTTCTCTTCTAGAGCGTTCCTAGTAAAAAAAGTCACAGAGATCTACTTAGAACAGTATAGATATATCAGCAGACGTACCCCTTTCACATCTAATTCTCTTTCAATTCTCGGTTAGAATTGTGTTAGGATATTATAAACTCTTTCTTTTTCTCCTTCTAGATTACTGCACTGCCGGAAATTCCCGGTCGCAGATCTATAGAGGAGGCTGGCTGATAGAATAGCCACGTCCAAAATCTGCATTTCCTAGACACGTTAGATAGGTCCGACTGCAGAAGATAGCTTATATACTTTAGCATTCAGGATTAGACCGTTAAATAGCAGTGAGTTCAGCCGGAGTATAGGGCTAGGGGCGGGAGCGGGAGAAGCTAAGTAGATATCACTCTGATTCTGGACACGAAAGTAGATTAGGTGTGTAGAGAACAGATCAAACTAAAAAAGAAACAGAAGGCTCAACTTCCGTTCTACTATCCGGGTTGACATTTAAACCAAAGCGTCTCTCTTCTTCTTACTATAGTCTCCGCAAAACCAGAAACAAAAAAAAAAAAACACCATGACCAATTCCTCCGATATCCACCAATACACTTAGCAGACAATTGACTTAACAACCTCGCCGGACGAAGCCGTCCGCCTCCTCAAACAAGACGGCGTTATACAAGTGCAAGGGTTCCTGGATAGGGACGTGGTCCGCCGATTCCAGGCAGAAGTCGAGCCGAGTATCGACTAGTTCCGCGCCGGCCCTAACGCCAGTAGCTCGATCTACCAACGGCTTATAGGCTCCAAGACTAAACAAGTCGCTAACCTAGTCTTAACCTCGCCGACCTTCCGCCAAAAGATCCTTAACTACGGTTGGATACACGGTATATTCAAGGGCATGTTCCGCGGCGAGTTCGGTGACTACTAGATGAACCGCGGGTCCGTGCTGTATCTAGAGCTAGGCGAGCAGGCGTAGGGCATCTACAAGGACGACCGGCTGTACTGCGTCAGCAAACTACGGCGTTACCCGTCGACTAACCCTGAGTTGATAGTGAATATCATTGTGGCCCTAACTGAGTTCCGCGACGACAACAGCGCTACCCGCGTCGTGCCGCGTAGTTATCTCTAGGATAAGGCTGCGCAGCGTCCCGAGCCTAACTAGGCGGTCCCTATGCTGCTCCGGCCCGGCGAGGCGATAGTGTTTGTAGGCGGGCTTTATTATAGCGCGGGCGAGAATCGCTCTACGGAGTATCGGCGCGGCTTGTTTATCTCTATACATCCCGCGGCGATGACCCCTATAGAGTCGCATCATTATATGCCCCGAGAGATTATTGAGGGTATAACACCCCTAGCGCAGAAAATAGTCGGCTGGCAGTCGTTAGAGACTTATTATAGGATCCCGCTTCTAAGGGCTAGAGACGAGAGTATAGAGGATATGATCGGGTTGAAGTCTATAGATAGTTAGGTTAGATCGGGGATTCGTATACTTCTTCCCTATATTCCTTAGAAGGATTAGATCAACCGGTTAGGGTTTAAGGTGGATATTGTAATATAAGAGTGCTAGGAATAGATTTCTATTTTAAGCGTAGGTGTTTGAAGAACTAACGGCCGTAACGCCATTGAATATACACCAACCGGAGTATCTTCGCTTATACGTCCGTTTACAGCTGTCTTCTAGATTCTTTATTGAGGAGACAATTGGATATTAAGTAGGACGAGTTTTGACATAGATTCTAAGCTGATTTCTCCAGAAATCTCCCGATATCCTTTAGTCTTACAGTAGAGTGATAGGGATATACCACGCAGACAAGACAAAACCACAACATAATTCGACTATAGAGACTTTAAAGTTTCTTTTAAGATATCTAGTTATTAATCCAAACCAAAAAAGAAAAAGTGCATAAAATAGAAAAATACAAGGCCGGCGCTCCGATTTCTCGAGAGAGTCGGGGACAACCCAAGATACGTCGCTAGCTAGCTAGCAGAATGATCATCCATTGCTTCGTGAAGGTCAGGTCTCTACTCTCTATCTGCAATAGCTGTCTCTCGCGAGCATTTCAGATTGTCCCCGATCTTCATCGGAATCACGCAGAGGATATCACCACGCCCGGCGCAGCTAGACATGCATAAATCCGCCCTTTTCTTCCGCAGATCGGGATTAACTTGAATGTTATGGATTAGAAAAGGGTAACTAGCGGTGTAGAGAGGAGGTTTGTCACTTAGAGCTATTTTATCTATTTATCGAAGGACATTTTATGCAGTAGTCTCTCTACGGAAAGCGATATGACTATCCTCCTCATTATCTTCTTTTATTACTAACAAGGAGCAATACGAATTGACAATTTCTCTAGCCCTAAAGCCGAAATCCCTACATCTATCCACTATAACTGCCCGCAAAATTCAGGTGATCAGAAGCCACCGCTCAGACCTATATTAGGACAAGGTAGTGAGGACTTACGACGACCCGCCGGAGTTGTGGGAGAAAGCGCTGGGAAGCGAGGGCTTCGGCTTCTAATTCGGCCTGTTTGATGCAACAGAACTAACCGCTGGCGCCAGTCCCGGACCGATTGGGCCTTCTGAGATCCGATATTTTGACCGGCAGCTAGAGCTAGCAGGACTGTTGTAATCAGCGGCGGATTAACAGACCTAATTCAAGCGCATCCTGGATCTAGGCTGTGGCTGGGGCTCGATCACCGAGTATCTGGCGAGGACATTCCTAGACTGCCCGCGCATCGACGCTATTAACATTAGCTAGCGCTAGCTGGACTACTTCGCCGACACTATCCCCGCCGATCTGGCCGCCTGCGTCTACCTCTACCTCTGCAACGGCTAGGATATTGATCTGCTTCCTGACCCGGAAGTCCCCTACGATCTCGTCGTCGTCCGCGGTGTCTATACCTATTTCCTCCCAGAAGTATTCGAACAATCCGTAGCCCAGGTCGTCTAGCGCCTCGCCCCTGGTGGCATCCTGCTTATCTCCGACCAACTGTACAAAACGAACAACCTCGCCACGTACCAGTCCTATATCCCCGACAAGGTCGACCGGCTCGCCTGCGGCAACAGGAAGACTATCGACTACTATCTCCGCGTTCTGCTGCGGAACGGGCTTATCCTGTAGGACTTTCGCTAGTTGCCCTCTGCCGCGCAGGTTGCGTATTGGTTCCAGATCGTGCAGCTCAATATCGAGCAGAATTTTCCTTACAGTGCTACTAGACCTATCCAGGAGCTATATCAGTTGGCCTGTAATGGGACTAAGACGGTCGCTTAGAATAAGGTGGGTATGTTCAGTATTATTGCTCTGCGTGCTCTAGCTTGATGCAGATCTAGTGATAATGCTGTGGGGTTTATGTAGGAGGAAGAGAGAGCTCTGGAAATTATAACAAGCGACAGGGTTGCCTAGTTAATGTGCGTGCGAGATATCCTAGTACGAAAAGAGTTGCAGTGTGTTCATATCTATCCCGGCTCTGATATGCTTTGTTCTAGTTATCATGCTATATGTCGTAGACGAGTTTACGGAGCAATAAAAGAAACAACTATACTATCCTTAGCGGAATAAGTTGCTGAAGCAGAGATTCAGTCAAAATAACCTACGTATATAGGTGTCAAATGAAGTATACATGGCAATTGCTAGCCACTGACGATATGTTCCTAACAATTTAACCCTATGTATGGATAACAGTACTTTTCATGGAATCTTGTAGAAGGGTCGGGTCCTGGTAATTTAAGGTACCCGTTAAGTTCCACAGTCACTATATGCTGTACACAACAGAAGGCCGCACTGGTACTTAGAGCATTATACTGATTATTGCAAAATGTCCTTCTTGTTGATTTGCCGTTTAAGATAGACTGAGACTCTATCTCGATTTCAGCCTGGCCCTTGCCCCTTTTAAAAAAGAAACTTGCATCTAGCTAGTCAGTGTCCTGGAGCAATTTCGCCACGGTCCGAGATATTATAGATTTTCCGGTCCTAGCTATTCCGTTCAACCAGAAAATACTTTTCTGACACGGCGAGACAGTCTATTCCACTATCTGCTGGAGGAGCTCGGTTCTCGTTCCTTGGAGACATTGAACTTCGTCTCGGTCAGAAATGACTCAAACCCTGCCTCTATCACGCCTTCTAGCTTCCCGAGATCGATTTCTGGTCCAAACATTCCGCTGTCGTCAAAACACTCCTATTCAAGGTCAGTAATGCACTCCTATTCGGTGTCAGTAATACACTCCTATTCAAGGTCAGTAATAGTGTTTTTGATAATAGACCGGGCTGTATGCTACCTTTGCGTGTTGGTGAGTCTAGTCAATACCTGACCAACTATACGTTGTCAGCAGAGGTCCCGAATATATAAAAATAAGCGCCGAAAGACATATTATACTATAGATATAATTATTATACTAAGTCACGACAACATTATATGAAGTTACAAATTCAGAATGCAGGGTACTAGCCTTGTTGAAGCTCTTTAGCTACTCTCTCGACGTATAGAGGCAAGGCGCCCACACGTTGCGACCGCAATACTAGGAGTAGCTCTCGTGTATACGCAGCGGCAGTGAGTGCAGTATATTTGTGCCAGTCGTCATTCTTGTGGGAGTCACTGTCCTGTATCAACTGAGAACATCAACTAATGTACGCGTATAGCTCGTGATTACCCGTTATTTAGACCGCAGTTTTCGGTATTGTGGAAATTCTAGCGAAGCTACATAGTTTTCTGATCGGCGGTATATCTTATCTAGTAGATCAGCGTATCTCCTTATCTTTCCTACGTCCTGTCGCCCACAAAAAAAATTGAGTTAACTAAAGTTAATTATGCTACTGTTGACTACAGTATCGTTCTCACTAATATATAATTTAAGCCACAGGCAGTATCTTAGCTATAGCAGATTATGTGCCTTATCTTTTGATATGCCGACTTCAACGCTTAGCTCCGTCGAGCCGGTTGTTTTCCGAACTAGCGGTTTTTGAGGAGGCCTGCGTTAGCCTGATGTGATCTCCACCAGAGCAGTCCTGCAGAATTGGCCGATATGGTATACCGCGCAGTCGCTTTGTTCAGTATTATACCCTTGCATTTTGAGGGCATCTGGTCTATTTTTGGTTAGGAGTCCCGAATCGCCACCATACCCCACTAATCACCACCAATAAGGTTTAGTGATATCATTCCTCCTATCTCTATCCCCGATATGTATTGATATTTCCTCGTGTTTTAGAGATAGGTCAGACAGGAAAGTGAATCTCAAATTAGTATTGCTCCGAATTGACAGTATATCCCAACTGTCTTTGCCTTATAGCAGTTGCTTCTGTTAAAATAAGGGCTCTAGAGACCGTAAGAAAAGGAGACAAGGAAATCGTCCGATCCTAGAGACACTCACGCTCGATCCCCGAGGGACCTGCGCCTGCCTCTGGGAACTGTCCTAGAGGTTCCAGGAGCAAAAAAGCTCCCAGGACTGGCTTATATGTTCCTGGAGCTGATGGAAGTGCAATGTAAGCTCTTGTATATCCCTGACATCGATCTAAGGGATACTCCGGGCGATACTAGAGGCGCTTCAGTCGACCCAGAGACCCGCACTAATGTATATATGTATTTCATTTACGCTAACCCCTCGCTAAGCCATATTCAGTATATAACAACTATATATCAATGTACGTATATATATCGTGTACCACTTCTTAAACGATCTTAGAGCCTCGTTAGGGCCTGCTATAACCTTGTGGTATTGTTCGAATTTAATTGTATCTCTGCAAGGAAGCGCGAGAATGCGGGCAATACTGACGTCAGAAATCTGGATAATGACTTTGTTGCAGACACGGGTTTGTTGCGATTATAGCTAGCTAAGCGTTTCCTTGTCTTGGGCTCGAGCTGGAACGGTGATGGTTTGTTGTGAAACCGGCGGTGAAAATCTTCTATTATAAGTATGGGTCTAGTAGAAGGAACAGGTTCTCGGGTCTTAAGAATCGGCTGTGGTGAATTCGTGGTAGGCTGCTGGAGGACCGATATATAGGTTAGTGGATGGCTTAGGGGTGGAGTAGTTGTGGGGGGTAACGGATAGGGAGGCTGAGGCGAGAGGGTTGGTAGAGGTAAACGTGATTCTGGGTTAGTCGGTGTAGATAGCGAGCGAGCACGGGAGCTATTAGATAATTCCTCGGCGGTGGAAAGGACGATTTGTGCTGGTTTGGATTGTGTTTGGGTACTAGCGTCGGTCGTCGTCTTCTTGGGTTGTTCGCTCTGCAAGGAAAGAAAGGGGCTAGGGGCTGGCTGGTGGGGCAGAGGGGTTATGTCGGTGGAAGAGGAGAGCGAGTCGGCGGAGTCGAGATGATATTTTAGGTCACTGGAAATGACTTTCTATATACAATCTGCTCTGTGTAGTTGCTGTAACTCTTGGGAAGGTGCGCGCTGGAGGCTAACTAGGCGTCTGGCTGACTAACACACAAAGCAGCTAGCCAGGCCGCCACTTAAGAAAGGCTAGTAGTGAAAGCCATTCTTGGCCAGCTGTAGCGGGGTGACGCCGCTAAGCACTTGTCCTTGGAATGACAGAGCTCTGGCCGCGATGGTGGAATAGGTGGTCGAGATAAAAAATTTCTCTTGAGTGGTGCGTTGTGGGGTAGGTGGCTCGGGTGGTGTAGGGGGAGCGCGGATTTAGAGATAGAGGACGGTCGGCGGAGAGGTGGGAAAGGCTTCCTGCCTGCCCTAGGGTCTGGAGGCTAAGGGCTCACTATAGCTTCGACTCCAAATAGTACAGTACGTTGCTATGTACAGTGCGTCCCGAAACTAGTGCAATATCCTACACTCTTCAATAATTCTCTAACCCCACCGCTAGGATACACTGGTCTATATTAGGAGTAAGTCTAGAATATTAATATTCCTGTATTAAACTTAATACCAAAACTGGCTCTGATTAAACTACGATGCTTTGTCTGGTAACTGTATTAGGGATCCGAAGAACTAGATTTTTCCAATTTTTCTATAGTGATACAAAACAGGCAAACACCAGAACTGGGAGTGTGTAGGTGGATACCGGAGAAAGGAAATACTGTATATCCGCCAGATTTAGTTATGTAATAGGGCCTAGTTAACTTATCCAACTAGCTTGAACGAGATATAGTGATCCGACTCACTAATTGCAGACTAAGGCATTAATATGTGAATAGCCTCATAACAGGAACATTATAACTGCGAAGACCTTTCCAAGGTTAACTGTTGAACTTTGTTTTTATAGAAACGTCATGATTCATTCCAATCTTTTATATACTTCTTTGCTTATAGCTAGCGTTAAAGTTGGATCAACACTAAACTCTTCGTCTGACCGCGTCTCAACATTAGGCTTCAAAGTCCCTGAAACCCGCCTTGCAACTTAGAAAGACTACTCAGCGAATATTACAGCGGTTATCCTTTAAATATTCAGCCCCTTCAAACACAGTAGTCTATGCTACCGTAATTAGAGACCCTAAAGAGCAGGCTAGTGCCTCACAACCGAAGCAGGTCTAAATACAACCTTGTCCTGGACCGTACCCGGCTCAACAGTAAGACAAGCGTACTTATCTCCTAGGAAGAAGTACGCATTATTTAGGAAGCCCGGAGCAGGAATCACCGCATCAAGGCGGTGAATTCCTGCGCTAATAAGGGCCGGCTAACCCTTGGCAATAGGGGCAGGGCCAAAAACAATAGAGCTTTTAGCCTTGCCGGGAGTCAGGGTGACGCGCGTATACTGATCCTTGTAGAAGACGTACGTATGGTTGGACTCTCCCGGGGTGGGTAAGATCGCATCGATAGTAGGGAATCCAGCCTTATTAAGCGAGGGCTAATTGCCGGTGAGAGGTGCAGGGCCGAAGGTAACCCTGTTATCTTTGAAATTGATGCAAGCGTATTTAACGCCACTGAAGACCTAGATTGAGCCTGTGTTGTCGGGAATTGGGATAACCGCGTCAACTATAGTGAATCCGGCTTAGACTAGCGACTTCCAAGACTCCGCGTATGCCTTCGGGCCCTAGATAATCTGGTCGATGGTTGTGCCGGGAATGACCTTGATGCTGATATAGCGATCTCCTTTAAAGACATAGCCTTAACCGTTAGAAGACTCTATGTATCCAGCGTCGATGGAAGCTCCTGACATGATGAATAAGATGTTTGTTTAGAATTGATGATTGATTGAAAATGATGAACTAGAGACAGTCAGGAGATAAAGGGGTTTATGTAGTCTTTCCCTCAAAAATATTTATATCTCCTGACGGAGTCTAGACGAGACTAGTAGCGAGCAACGACCAATCGAACAGTTGCCACTCAAAAAGTATACGTAAATGTCTGTATAACGAGTTCCACAGCCGAATACAGGACGCAATATATACGAAGTGATGCTCCACAATGAGCAAAACCTCTCAAGGATGGAAGCGTGATATGTACTACGGATTATACCGCTACTAACACGATGCTATACTAGGATTGAGCTCCTATAACTCTTCAATAGTTACAATAGTGCTGGCTTTTCAACATTGGGACTAGTGTGTCACTGAACTTACTATAACATCCCAATTTACTAAGGGAATCGGTTTATGCTAGAAGTTAGAACAAATACTAATAGAAGAAAAGGTTAGTAAAGAAGCTAACCAGTAGTCTAGCGGTGTATAGAGTAGGGGGCGGGTGTCTATGGTTCTCCAGCCAGCCACACTGAAATTCATTTTATCTTCACTAGGTATTTATAGACATAGATATAATTTGCCTCGGGCTTAAACTTCTACTATCATCTAAGTAGGGGACGGGACGCAAGATCTTGGTTAACCTAGAATAGATCCCCCGCACTTATAAGTCAATCGAAGATAGCTCACAAATAATTTGTGCAACGTCCTGCATTATATAGAGTGGATTGGTCTTCACGGCTTCGCAACCTTGGCAGTGTAGTAGCTAATGGATCGAAATGTATAGCTACTCCACAGATGCAGTTACACAGCATAATCACGTTACATATGGTCTCTCGAGAGGCTGGAGCGGAGACCAGGCAAATAGGCTTCTGAGGGACTATACAGGTATTATAAATTAATTGCGTGCTAAATGTATTCTTCGCGAGACGTGATATTGCCTGTGAGGTATGATGAACTATAGTATATATTCCCCGTCGCTCTCGCGCTGCTCCTTAGCCCTTATCGGACAATAGACCCGCTATCCGCCGGCTACTCGATGTCCATTGTGCTATTACGCTTATCATAAAACTGAGCGGCGCAGGCGATTATATTGAGAAGGTCCTTCGGGATATAGAGGAATTGGATGTCAGAGAAGACGGGTCAACGCATTTAGGATATCTTACGGGTCTACGGCTTAACGGGAGGTTAACAACCTTATCTTTATGTTAATGTCATACCACTAAATCAATATCCTTGGTGCGATAATATTAATTTGCCTAAGAATTTATTTATAAATATCTATTTGTACTTTCCTTAGGACCGGGTGAAATAAGTTCGCCTAACGATTTAATTTACTTTTTGTTGTAATACAAAAGGAAGCTTACTTCTCCTTATTTCTAAGGGGATACAAGAGGCTATATATACAACATAACGTCCAAGTTGATTGGAAATCAACTTAGTCTTCGTATAGATAGACAGGAATTATTTCCGATGTTGCGGCTTCGTTCCTAAGCAGCAACTGCCTTATATCACAACAGGGAGGTTCTATACCAGCGGAGAAAAACAGTACACACTATACCCAACTAAACAGCACTCTTTTTAAGACTAAAGTCTTAGCAGTAAGACCCACAATCAAGTGACAGATATAGATTGGTAACGCCGAGTTTGCAATCGACTGTAACTAGATATTAGATGACCGTTCAGTAGCAAGTATCTTGGAACTTGTCAAAGACAGCAGAACACAGAATTTATCCCTCAGCCTTTTCTCTCCCACCGCTCGAACGTTCATCGACAGTAAATCTGTACAGGCTAAGAGCTATTCTATTTCCAGTTCTTTTAGTGGAAATCCCCTAAATTCACTAAGTAACTAAGCCTAGTGAAGTTCATTTTTGACCTAGAATGACGGAAATTACAGCCCTTCTTCTACCGTTACACCGGCGTGGCGAAAATAGCCTCTAGCACTTGCTTCTTTTGCACTAACCTTATCAATACACTATTCGAGAAAAGAGTCAAAGCCTCGATCGGGATCTTCTTCGAAGTAGCTCTAGTTGCGTCTAATAAAGCCCTTAAGTTCGGCGAAGAACTCGTTAATAGGGTTCAGGTCAGGCGAATAGGGTGGCAGATAAACTAGTTTTACTCCCGCGGCTGCACACAGCTGCCCGATCCGCTCAGTGTGGTGGAACGACGCATTATCCATGACCAGTACAGATTTCGGCTCTGGCCATCTTCCACAATAATGAAGAAGCTTATCGACAAAGTCCTTAAACAAAGTGGCGTCCGTAGCGCCACGAAAGACACAAGAAAGAACAATTCTATCTTGGGCATATACAGGTAATATCTAATACCGCTCGTCACGGTGATATTGTGAGACTTGCACAGGAGCTACGCCAAGGGGTGACTAGCCTGTCCGTCTGAACCCGATTCATTTATCACATCCAGATTCATCGACGTAAACTAGGTGGTATAACTGAAAGTCCGACAAATTGTGAAGATATAACTCTCGCAGATCGGCACTTTGTTCTTTAGCCCTCTCTCGAGCGGTCTTTTTGGACCAACCTTTAGAAGCGAGGGCCCTCCTAATGCTAGAAGTGGTTGCTAAGGTATGAAACTTATCCCATAGAAACACGACTATCTCATCAAGGTAAAGACCGGGCTTTTCGAGTAGATATTCGCAAAGCGATTTAAGCATCGGCGTTATGCTTCGTCTCCGGCTAATTCGATTTAAGGGGGCCTGCACGCTTCTAAAGAGCCGCAAGTTCCTACGAATATTCTTGATTATACGGTCGCTATATTCCGCTGCATTAGCTATTTAAGACGTGGTTAGTGACTGGCTCTGTATCGTATCACGAATAAAGTGTAGCTTTAGAATAGGAAGTCTAGGTGCTATATCGCGAGGGTCCTTTTCGCGATTCTCAATTACGGCGAGAAGAAAAGTATATAGCCTAAGGAGATCCACAACTTCGTAGGAGGGAGAGGGAGGTCGCTAGTAAATATATACTATATACGAATACTGTATTTTACGCGGTACCTTCGTCCTGTAAAAATAAGGGTTCTACAGTATTCTTAATATTAAGAAGTGTTCTACCGCTAGCCTAATAAGGATTAGGGCATTTTAAAGTAGGATCCGAGAAATAATTTCGCAGATATATAAAGGGGAATCTGTTTTCGACTCCGACTATAGTCAGGACTGGATAGGTAAACGAAGTGTGTGATTGGAGTTATTAAACACATTTCGGGAACTTTAGCGTTTAGAGTTCAGAATGATGGACTCGGTTGGCTGCCAAAAGGGCCTTTGTTAGTATTGTAATGGTTACGCCAAAACGTGGCTTATACAGCATAGTATATATAAGACGGTGACTCTTATTCTTTTGTCAAATCCACCTTTGTCCTTTAAAAATTGCGACTGAAAATCAGTTTGAAGAATATACGTTGATCCGTAAGATCATACTATCGATCAATCTAGTTCAATATTGCAATTCTACGTACCCTGTAAACAAGTCTAAGTTGACGAGAACAGGTATAGACTGTGACAGATATATAATCAGCACAAAGTCCTTAGAGGGTTAGCAGGCTTTTAAACTATAGCTCAATAGTGAACCCGAGATTCGTGACTTTCAAAGGACTGACTACGTAGATTCACCGATGTCTACAGTTATGTTTGTTTAATACTACGGCGTATTGCGTAAGATAGGTAATCTTAGGTGCCCTTAGCTATAAATTTTGAGTTCGCTAGTGACTGTAAGAATGTTATCCGGGTTTTGATAACGAGGCACCGGCTGCAAGATAAGAGAAAAAGATAACGCGTTGACCTAGCTCCGCCGTAGGACCTTTTAGAAGAAATGTCTGTATCTCTGTACTATTTGAAGTAAGGGCTAAGGAGTAGGTCTCTACTCATTATATACATTAGAACATGAAAATTTAGCTTCTAGCGTTGACCCTTGTATCAATTTGTTAATTTCCGTTCCGATGGAATGAAGGGAATACATCACACGCACTATACCGGGGTTCTTTCTACTCCTTTTATTGCGCCCTCGTTGCTAACTCAACCTCTTCACTACTATTCATTATAACGATTCTATTAATTCCATCGAACCAGGGGCCAGCCGCCATTGCGGAGCCGCGATCAAGTGGAATCAATATTATTATTATCGGACTTGGGATTAGAGGATTAGCCGCCGCCATCGAGTGTTATCGCAAAGGACATTTAGTCACGGTATTCGAAAAGGCTTCAGCACCGCGCCCTTAAGGTGAGCCGACTTGTAATCAGTCTAAGAATATCAGGCTTATATTATATCAGGAGACTGTATAGGTATTGGAAGTAATGCCGCTCGGATTTTAGCTAAGTAGGGAAACGGACGCGTCTATGAGCTACTTGAAGCTCAAATCAGCTATATTCGAGCTGTGGATATCTATAACTAAGCTAGGAAATTTATTGTCACGAATGAAATGACTGGATTCCGCCGCGGCGATAGCTACTTTTTGAACAGGTGCGACCTAGCGAATATACTTTACGAGTATGCAAGAGACATTGGAGTCGAGGTGCGATTCAATGCTAAAGTCACCGACTATTGGGAGACAGATTCTAATACTAGTATAATTGTTGATAGTAGTAAAGTGGCCGCAGACTGTGTCATTGCTAGCGACGGCCTCTATAGTAAGGCCAGAGGTTTTGTGACAGGCAGCGATCCGGCACCTGTGTCCTTAGGCTACGCGGCTTTTCGGGCTTACTTTGACGTTAGCGAGATCCTCTCAGACCCTACAGCACATTGGCTCCTCAAAGGCGCTGGTAAAAGTGATTAGGTATCGGCTTTTGTAGGCAAAGACAGCGAGATCACTATGTGTACCGTCAAACGGGGAAAGGCTATTATATAGATCTTTACTTACCCTGATCCCGACGGCGACGCTCGTGAGTCCTGGACAGTTCCGGCCAACGTGTAGTACGTGGTAGACAAAATCCAGGATTAGCCTTGCCGGGACAAGATTGCCCCTATTATACGGTATACGCTAGCTAAGAAGGCGATCAATTTTCCTATTCTCATAAGACCCCCCTTAGATACCTGGCTGTCGCCGCTAGGTTGTATCATTCTGACCGGTGATACTACCCATCCTTATCTCCCTATAGCTAGCCAGGGGGCTAGCTAGGCAATAGAAGATACTGCTGTGCTAGCTATTACTTTAGAGTTAGCCACAAAGGACAACGTGCCTCTCGGGCTCAAAATTGCAGAAAAAATAAGGTGAGGGACTTAGCTCTTAGGGTTGCCTTTGATTAAGCACATTTCCTCCTGTATAATCTCGATAGCTAATAATCAAGCGCAGATATTAACAGGCTACTATTATCCAATCTAGAGGAAAGGAGAACCACGATTCGTGGCATCGTCCTGACTGGGAAGCAATCAAGAAAAATCCAAACTTAATCAAAACTCCTCGACCCACCTAGATCCTCGGACATGACTGCCAATCTTCAACATATAAGGAGTTTCCCAAAGTGAGAGAGGCATTCTTATCAGGGAAGGACTACGTCCCCTAAAATATTCCCGAGGAAGGATTACATCGAGCAAATGATTTCACAGGCCTGAAACAAGCCTTGGGAATCACCAAATCATAGAATTAGAGATATAGAATAATACTTGTCTTTTTTTTTGCTATCAAATATTTGAGAACAAAAATCGAATAGAAGTAAGATTTCCTCTTCAGTACTATTTATTTTATACCTCATCATCATCTTTCCTGGAGTTATTGTTCTCGATCCTCTTTTTGTTTCCTGATTTCATAGAAAATTCCTATAAGAAGCATAATTTCAGGATGTTAGTTACAGAAGAATCGTCGACTCTAGAATAATTTGTTATCGATCTTTACTCCGAGTTAGTGATCTTTACCTACACAACGTCCTCCGCAGCAAGATTGATCCACGTATTCGAGTTACCCTTAAAATCGTCCATCGACCGCTGGGACGAGTCCTTTATCTGAATCGAGTAATTCTCAAGGATGTGCGAAAGCAAGGTTTTCAGAAACAGGTCGGTGAGATATTTCCCTAGATATTGCCGGGGGCTAAATCCAAAGCGCCAAAGTCGATAACGGAACTCGGACGGATTCTTTGCTTGTAAAAAACGTCGTGGATTAAACTGGTAGCGATTATCTCCCTAGGCTTAGTCGTCGTTGTTTAAAGTATGAATGTTAACTGTGACATTAGTTCCGGCTGGAATAACATACTAGTCTACCTAACGGTCCGACGGGGGACTTTGTGCCCTAGAGAAAGATACGATAGGCCGTAGCCGAGCAGATTCCAGAAGATAAGCCATCAGTAGTGTAGAGGATTGAGAGATATACTCGTCCTAGACAGCCGGAGAAGCTTGAGACTTATTCTCCACAATTTCTCGTCGCAAATCCGTTTGCACGTTAGTGTGAGCAGCTAAAAAAACGAGCACCTACGACAGACTGCCGATAGTGACGTTAAGGTTTGCGAAGAGTATCTTATCTATGGTATCTAGTATCTTATACTCAGAGAGCTTGCCAGAGTCCACGGCTGAGAAGAAGTCGTAGATTGGTGGGAGCCCGTCGAACAAGCTACGAGCTCGGTCGGCGGCCTGACGATTGAAACCAGCCTATATAGCCCGAAAAGTTCTTAGGGTATGTTTCGTTGGAGTTGGCAGGAAACGTCCGATTGATAGGCGGGCTAAACCCCCGGCGGTAACACCCGCTTATACCTTCTCCCGGATTTCAACAATTTCGAGTAACTAAGCTTCTATCTCCGGACTTATAGCTCCGTATAGGATATTGTAGAGAACCCAAAATGACACGAGGCGAAGGTCCTCCGCAGGCTTCAGGATGAGAGTACTGTTGCGGTGAATCTTAGGATTCTTGTGTAGCTCCTGAAGGTATTGCTGCACCCGTCGCTCTATTACTAGCAGGAAGTTGACCACCTTAGCCTAATAGAACGGCGGCGTAAAGATATTTCGTATACGATTCCAATCCCCGCTATTAAGTAGACCTAACGCTTTACTAACGAGTTCGCCGAATAGCTATCCCGTATCAAAATTCGTTGACTTTATATGCAAATGAGAGTCTTTGAAGACAGCGGGCATCTGATCATGCTTAGTAAGTACCCTGAAATCTGTTAGCACTTTCCTTTATACACTATCAGAATATTCACGTATACCTCAGGAGTACTCCCTGCCTAGATACGATAGATATGGCCAAATTCACTCCCCTATTCTCGAGACCTCGCCCGACCCTTAAAAAACTTTATATTGCCTTACCTATTCGGGAACCGAAATAGGTAGGTAGGTATATCTACCGATCGGTCTGATAACTAGATCGGGTATTTCCAGCAAAGGTAGACCTACTCCCAGCTCCGTCAGTCTTGTTTCTAATACAATCTGTTTAGGTAAAGTATATTAATGGGCGTTGAGATGACGGAATTCAGAAGTTTGCGAAGCTGGATATGTTTCTAGAGAACCAAGAAGGCGATTGTAATCAAGAATACCTGAACTGCTATACGTTCCGGGAAACTACTCGCTAGTGTAAAGACTCTGTTGTCTGGTATGTCTATTTTTGGGATAACAGAGAGATTTGCAGTGTGCTCCTCAGAGCGTTTCCAAAGTCAAAAGAATACTAAGGGCGTCCGTTATATATCTTTAGTAGCATCGGTAAACACCGGAGTCTTTCCAAATCAAATTCGAGAATACGTATTGTTCGCATTATTGCACCACAAAGTAAGGGGGAGGGAGGTATGCATTCTCCTTGATCACACTATGGTTTGTCACATTTTCCGTTAGGCCGCATTATGTCATATTTATGAATGGCTAGCTAGTAGTTTTATGGATCTGATAGGGCAGACAGCTGCGATAGACATACTTTCTACAGATCTATTAGATACGTTCTATCATGCAACTGGTAGTGATAGTAGTGGAGATTCGTTGCCGCTCAATGTTACTATCTGTCCTAGACACATATCTAATACAAACCTAGCGAATAAGGATACTGAAGGGAAGATATAAAGGCAAGGGGATGATGTAAGGTATCCAAACTTCTCTTCTCACTGGAAAGGTTGCATCGCTAACGTGGGTACTGATTAGAAAGGAGGAAGAAACTAATAGGTGGGAGGATTGCAGAATTGTCGGCCCTACTAATACGAAGTGAGACGGATAGAAGAGCAAAAGAGGCAGGAATAGAAAATTGAGTTTATACTGAACAAAGAATAAATTGTAGACAATTTGAGGGATGTAATCAGGTTTACTCTATTCTAGATAACCGCGTCTACGTCACACGTAATATAGTTTCCGTTCAACCCGTTCTTCTGCCTGTTACAATTGCGACACTCGAAGCAGTTCGCTATTTCTATTAATAAACCCGTAATCTGCCCGCTACGAATTACCGCGTAGATAATAGAAATCCAGGATCCGATAGTTTTGCGCTTACGATTAAGTCCGGATCCAGATTTCACAGTAGGATATTTAACCAGGCCTCTATGGAAGGGTACTTTGAGTTCGTTTCGGACAAATTGATACAGCAGTTTGGCCCTATCCCTAAGGTATCTCTCGGTCTGTAGTTCAGAAAAGGCGTTTTCGCGTATGCTCTCGAATAGAGATATACAACTAGACCTAACACGCGCTATCATATCACTGATTGCTGAAAGTGAATCCGTATGATACGTCGATAAAGGCCTATGCTGGCCAAGTATGTCTATTGCGGGAGGTGCTATAGCGTTCGCGACAAGCTGCGTACGTAAGTGAAGGGTTTCTCTTGCGGAGTTTACCTATATATCCCGAGCTGTCTTGATTAGCTCAGCTTAGAGGGATGCAAGAGGCTCCTCGGCTAGCTTGTTAAGAACTTCCTGAGTAGCAATTCGAATCTCTTCGTCCAAGGTATCTTAGAAAGTGACGTTCAAAACACAGAGATCCAGCGCTTGGCAGGCAACATAGAGGTGAGCTGCACTTATAAGAGACAGCACCTCTACTGCTTGTATAGTATATCTCGCCGAAATGAATGCAAGTGAATTGATAGGCTAGTTATTTATCTCTGCTGATTGCACATACGATGAGACTGGATTGGCCAGAAACGCGAGTTCGGACATATAGGCAGCCATGTTGATGTCGACACCCTTTATAGTGAATGAAAGATTAGGGTCGTCTGCTAATAAGTTGGAAGGCAGCCCGCGATTCAAATCAGGATTAATTAGCTCGGATAAGACGCTAAAGAGTATCTTTCTTATTATTTGCAGAGCTAGGCGTGTCTTTTCTGTCGCGGTTGTCACTGAAGCAGCTTGGAAGTTACATCCCGAATAGACTTCGCTAGATTGTGTGTTAATCACTGGATTATCCTGGGTAGAGTTCAATTCCGTGCTTAGCTGCTTAATACTAAGAAGGAGGTCCTCTAGCCCCGGGCCTATCCATTGCGATGCACCTCGGAGCGCGTAACGGTCCTGAAACAAACCGGTACGGGTGCGATTCTTAGTCTCGGACGTCTCTAGTAGGGACGAACTACGCACGAAATGACGAATGTTCCGAGCAATTTCGAGCTGGCCGCTGTAGGGGCGAATAGCGGCAACAAAGTGATGGTAGTTCTCTGCATTCCCCAGGAGCGCCTCGCATGATATACCTACAATGGACTAGCAGAGGATAGCCAGCTGGTTGGTGTTATATATGGCTATGCTTGCTACTGCTACGGACGCAGCAGCACTATTGAGAAGACCCAACCCTTCCTTGGGTCCCAAAACAATCGGCTTAAGTCTAGCAATATCCAGAGCTTCCGCAGCGCTAATGATAACTGTCTTTCCGTTCTTTTCTCTTTCCTAGTGAACCTTGATATCGGGGTTACCTTCCAGGATTCTAGCGATGTATGCTAACGGTATCAAATCTCCCGAGGCAGAGATTGAGCCTCGCAACGGGACCACAGGGGTTATCCCGAGGTCGAGTAGTCTAAGCAGGTAGGCAATGATCTCGAACCGAACACCGGAATGACCACGAAGGAGATGATTACATCGTACTACGATTGTGGCGCGTACCCACGATACAGGCATACTGTGGAAACCGATGTTATAGTTTGCTTTCGCTGGGTCTAAGTCAGATTCTGACAAGACCCTAGTCTGAGTTAACTGCAACAAAGCAGCTTGCAGTCTATGAAAGTCCAAAGTGCGGGAATCGGCGCTACCACCAAATCCCGTAGTAACTCCTGTTAAGAATTCTATCAATTCACTATACATTGAAGGTAACTTTATGCTAACATACCGTAGACCTGATAGCTATTGGCGAGATACTCCCGCAGCTATTTTACCCCAGACTCAACGCGCTGGGCAATATCACCATTGGGACTAACAGTGGCCTGGGAATGGTGCCTTTTTTTTTTTTTTTTCCTTGTTAGCACTTTTCTGAAGATCCGGCGGTCAGATACATACCTAGCAACAGCAATCACGCTCGCAATATCGAGATTCTCGCTATC